AGGGTCTGCTCTGACGACTATGGTTATTCTGAGGGTCTAATCTGAAGACTATGTCTATTCTGAGGGTCTGATCTAAAGAGTGGTTATTCTGAGGATCTACACTGAAGACTATCATTATTCTGATAGTCTACACTGAAGACTATTGTTATTCTGAGGGTTTGCTCTGAAGACTATGGTTATTTTGAGGGTTTGCTCTGAAGACTATGGTTATTTTGAGGGTCTATCTGAAGACTGTGGTTATTTTGAGGGTCTACTATGAAGACTGTGGTTATTTTGAGGGTTTGCTCTGAAGACTATGGTTATTTTGAGTGTCTGCTCTGACGACTATGGCTACTCTGAGGGTCTGCTCTGAAGACTTTGGCTATTCTGAGGGTTTGCTCTGAAGACTATGGCTATTCTGAGGGTCTGCTCTAAAGACTATGACTGTTCTGAGGGTCTGCTCTGAAGACTATGACTGTTCTGAGGGTCTGCTCTAAAGACTATGACTGTTCTGAGGGTCTGCTCTAAAGACTATGACTGTTCTGAGGGTCTGCTCTAAAGACTATGACTGTTCTGAGGGTCTGCTCTAAAGACTATGACTGTTCTGAGGGTCTGCTCTAAAGACTATGACTGTTCTGAGGGTCTGCTCTAAAGACTGACTGTTCTGAGGGTCTGCTCTGAAGACTATGACTGTTCTGAGGCTCTACTCTGAAGGATGTGGGCATTCTGAGGGTCTACTCTGAAGGCAATCGTCGTCTTCATATGTGCCATGAACAGCCTTTTGAAGTATTTCACCATGACTAGGGTTGGTACTGTTGGGTGATGATCATTCAGGCATAACACTGTTTATCTCTTTGGGACAAGAATAATTGCAGTAGTCTTAGGGAATGTGATGAAAGTTGCTAGAGAAAGTTGTCCCTCGACACCACTTAAAATTGGTGTGCACAGTCTCTAAGCACCTAATCTGAAAAATTATCAGAGGATGAAGCCTTGGAAGGTTGCCTTTTAGCAAGGAACTCCTCAACCCTGTTTTCGACACCGTGAAAGGGCAGTTGCCCTGTTTAAGGGTTGAGCCTGGAGCCAAGGAAAGTGTTGAATTCCTCCAAATGCGCTTAAAAATTGTTCAGAGCATAAGGAAGAGAAGGATCTGTCGAACATTCTGCATTCATGCTGGTGTAATGCTCTTAATGCCCCCAACATGCTCCATTGGTTGTGGAAAAGTGACTGAATTATGTGAATATATTTAGCCTTAGCTCTCCTTACACTAGCAGTGGGGTTTCTCCTTGTGCCACCAAGCCTGAACATGGAATCATTGGCTTTCAGAAGAGATTGAACCTCTACATTTATCCAGGGTTTCTGGTCAAGGTGGATAGTTCTCCACACATTTGCTGATATAGGCCATACCAGACCATGCCTATTCCTCCAGGTCCACACCCCTGTTTGAACTCGAGGAGGCAGCATCACCAGGCCGCACACTAATAGTATTTATTGTTGGTTTACCGAACCTTCAGCAAGGAGCAGTAAGAAAGTCCTTGTCTGCAGATCTAAAACTAAGCAAAACCAGTTCAGAGAGAAAACAGAAAGTGTAATTTCTAATCAGGGAGGTAGGACAAGATATAACAAGTCAACAGTTGGCAAGAAACACGACAAACACTAAGTAAACCCAATCTACATGTGCCAATTCCAACTGGGGGCAGCCCAACTATTAACCCCTTATATCCCCATCCTAATAATGTACAACCAATACAGTTCACTTAATTCTCCGCTCTCTGCCTACAGAAAAACCGGCATAGATCACATGACCAAATGAGGATGGAGGAGGACCGGAGTCACATGACTGAGAGGATACCAAACCTCACCCTGGAGATCATCTACCTGCTGACCGGAAAGGTGAGGAGGATTCTGGGTGGTCACATGACGTCACTCTCATCTCTATTAATAAAACACAAACCTGACCAGAGAGGTGAGGAGGATTCTGGGAGGACACATGACATCACTGATCTCTATTATTAAAACACAGACCTGACCGGAGAGGTGAGGAGGATTCTGGGAGGTCACCTGACATCACTCATCTCTATTAATAATACACAGACCTGACCGGAGAGGTGAGGAGGATTCTGGGAGGTCACATGACATCACACAGACCTGACCGGAGAGGTGAGGAGGATTCTGGGAGGTCACATGACATCACTCTCATCTCTATTAATAAAACACAGACCTGACCGGGGAGGTGAGGAGGATTCTGGGAGGTCACATGACATCACTGATCTCTATTAGTAAAACACAGACCTGACCGGAGAGGTGAGGAGGATTCTGGGAGGTCACATGACATCACTGAGCTCTATTAGCTCTATTAATAAAACACAGACCTGACTGGAGAGGTAAGGAGGATTCTGGGAGGTCACATGACATCACACAGACCTGACCGGAGAGGTGAGGAGGATTCTGGGAGGTCACATGACATCACACAGACCTGACCGGAGAGGTGAGGAGGATTCTGGGAGGTCACATGACATCACTCTCATCTCTATTAATAAAACACAGACCTGACCGGAGAGGTGAGGAGGATTCTGGGAGGTCACATGACATCAATCTCATCTCTATTAATAAAACACAGACCTGACCGGAGAGGTGAGGAGGATTCTGGGAGTCTAACATGATGTTCCTATTGGTTCCCCAATACAGAGATTCCCTCTTCTGAAGTCAGGTGATCATATGACCATCACAGTGCCTCCACGTGACTCCCTAAACCCTGAGAGACACAACATGCAGAAGATTCTAGAAGTCACCAAGAAGATGATGGAGCTGCTGACAGGAGAGGTGAGCGCGGTGCTGGGAATTCTGGGACATTCTCCAGTAACAGACAAGGCATGTGTCTGGATGGTGACTGTATCATTGTGTGTGTCAGGTTCCTATAAGGTGTCAGGGTGTCACTGTCTATTTCTCCATGGAGGAGTGGGAGTATTTAGAAGGACACAAGGACCTCTACAAGGACGTCATGATGGACAATCAGCAAACTTTGAGTTTTGTGAGGAAGGAATTTCCCCGGAATGAGATGATATATGAACCTCGCCCTGGAGATCCTCCACCTGCTGACTGGAGAGGTGAGTGTAATGAAGGGGTTAAATCTGATCCATGGGTGACATTTACTGGCCAGTCAGTGAGCCTTACTAGGAGAACATTAGTGACTTTGTTATATGACTTCCAAAAGGAGCTATAAATCTGACCACATTGTAAATATATCATTGGATGGAGATGTCCGTCCTTTGCTGAATTGGGACATTGTGGCCAATCCCTGGAGGACACATCTAGAGCTGACCATAGAGGTGAGGGATGATGGGGGAGTGAGATTTATCTTTGTATCACACAGAACTGTACAGGAGTCATGAAGAAATCTACCGACAATGAGACAAGATCCTCCAAAATCCAGAATCCCATCACCATCCCCCCACCTCCATCCCTGATCCCTACAAGACAGAAGATTCTAGAAGTCACCAAGAAGATGATGGAGCTGCTGACAGGAGAGGTGAGCGGTGCCGTGAATTCTGGGACATTCTCCAAACAGACAAGGGATGTGTCTGGATGGTGACTGTATCATTGTGTGTGTCAGGTTCCTATAAGGTGTCAGGGTGTCACTGTCTATTTCTCCATGGAGGAACGGGAGTATTTAGAAGGACACAAGGACCTGTACAAGGACGTCATGATGGACAATCAGCCACCCCTCACATCACCGGGTAAGAGGAGACTTTATTGGAAAGGAGAGAGCAGTACGGAGGCTCCACCTAGATCCCCCATCATCTGATAAACACATAGAAACAATGGATCAGTCAGTGTGTGTGTTTCCTACAGATGGATCCAGTCATGGGAACCAACCAGAGAGATGTCCCCGTCCTCTGTTTTCCCGGGATTCCACACAGGAAGGTCACATCATCCCTCACCATCATCAGGTAGATGGATCCAGTCATGGGAACCCACCAGAGAGATGTCCCCGTCCTCTGTATTCCTGGGATTCCACACAGGAAGGTCACACCATCCCTCACCATCATCAGGTAGATGGATCCAGTCATGGGAACCCACCAGAGAGATGTCCCTGTCCTTTGTATTCCTGGGTTTCCACACAGGAAGGTCACACCATCCCTCACCATCATCAGGTAGATGGATCTAGTCACGGGAACCCACCAGAGAGATGTCCCTGTCCTCTGTATTCCCGGGATTCCACACAGGAAAGTCACACCAACCCTCACCATCATCAGGTAGATGAGGAACAATCTCTGGTAGTTTATACTTTATGTACAAGCATGTTCGTTACAAAAAATGTTTTATAACATATTGCAGAGTGGAAACCTCGGGGATGATAATATTATTGTTAAAGAAGAGTATAAAGAGGAAGATGAGGAGTATGGAGTGATGGAGGAGTTTTCTGAAGGACAAAATGATCTCTATGAAGACATTATGATAAGGCCACCTAATACCAGGAACCCACCAGAGAGATGTCCCCGTCCTCTGTATTCCTGGGATTCCACACAGGAAGGTCACACCATCCCTCACCATCATCAGGTAGATGAGGAACAATCACTGATAGATATGATTTATACACAAGCTTGTTTGTTAAAATGAATTTATTTTATATATTCAGAGTAGAAACCTCCTGCATAATATGTTCCTAAAGAGTATAAAGAGGAGGATGAGGGGAGTATGGAGTGATGGAGGAGCTTTCTGGAGGACACAAGGATATGATGGAGCCACCTAATACCAGGAACCCACCAGAGAGATGTCCCCGTCCTCTGTATTCCCGGGATTCCACACAGGAAGTCAGACCATCCCTCACCATCATCAGGTAGATGGATCGAGTGATGGGAACCCACCAGAGAGATGTCCCCGTCCTCTGTTGTCCCGGGATTCCACACAGGAAGATCACACCATCCATCACCATCATCAGGTAGGTGGAGTTGAGGGTCGGGAACATAAAGTGATGGAACACTCTGACATGTGGAGACGATGTGTGGACTCTACAAGATGAGATGTTCTATGTGATCTCACATCATAAATCCTTCTATGTTACAGATGTTATTTTCTGCCATTCTGTTGGTTTAGGGTGAAGATCTGATGAACATGAAAGTTGAGGGTGAAGTAGAAGAGACGTATGTGAGGGATGATCAGCAATATACGGAGGAGGCTGGAATGAGGAGGACATTCATAGAGGAGGACACTCCTACAGAGATCAGCACAGGTGACCAGAATATATTCTTCTCTTATTCTGCTCTGTTACCGCCCCCCAGCCCCCTTTGGTTCCTGCTCCTCTGACAAGGCGGTGTAATTGTAGAAGTAATCTGGGAGGACCAAAGGCTCTTTGACTGAAGAGGGGAGGAGTCCCAGCTGGTTGGGACATCCACAGAGAACATCTGCTCCCTCCTATCTCCCTGATCCAGATGGAATCTTGATGGAAGTGAACTAACCCTCTTCTATCTATTGATGATGTTTTTCTATTTTTCCAGGACCCGCCATGGAGAAACCCTCAAGGATCGTCTCACTTTATCTCCAGGTTGTAAAATGGAAGATGAGGACATCCCAGGAGATTGTGCCGGAGAAAAGACAATGAGCTCCACTATGGATGGTGGACTTCCCAGTGTGGAGAGACCATGGAATCCCTCTGACTCTGAGCACCTTTGTACTGTGGGGGATGGGGCCGAGATTCAGAGGGAGGAGACATTTTCCTGTCCTGAATGTGTGGAAAGTTTTAGCTCTGCATTAAGTCTTTCTGTACATCGAAATCTCATACAAGGGAGAAGCTTCATTCCTGTTCTGAGTGCGGGAAATGTTTCCTGCATCAATCAGAACTTGCCATACATTACAGATCTCACACGGGGGAGAAGCCATTTTCCTGTAATCAGTGCGGGAAATGTTTTTCACACAAATCTCATTTTTCCAGACATCAGAGGTTACACTCAGGTGAGCGGCCATATGCCTGCTCTGAGTGCGGGAAATGTTTCTCACGAAACTCCCATCTTTCCAGACATCAGAGAACTCACACAGGTGAAAAGGCATATGCCTGCCCTGAGTGCAAGAAATGTTTTTTTAGTAAATCAGACCTGGACATACATTACAGATCTCACACAGGGGTTAAGCCGTTTTCCTGCGATGAGTGCAGGAAATGTTTTTCACACAAATCACATTTTACCAGACATCAGAGGTTACACACAGGAGAGAAGCCATTTTCTTGCCCTGAGTGCGGGAAATGTTTCTCACGGAAGTCTCATCTTTCCCGACACCAGAGAACTCACACAGGTGAAAAGCCATTTTCCTGCTCTGAGTGTGGAAAATGTTTTCTTTGTAAATCAAAACTGGATGTACATTTTAGATCTCACACGGGGGAGAAGCTGCATTCCTGCCCTGAGTGCGGGAAATGTTATTCACAGAAATCAGAACTTGATTTACATAAAAAATCTCACACAGGGGAGAGACCGTATTCCTGCTCCGAGTGCAGAAAATGTTTTTTACACAAGTGCCATCTTTCCGTACACCAGAGATTACACACAGGTGAGAAGCCGTACACCTGTACTGAATGTGGGAAATGTTTTTCACAGAAGGCCAGTCTTTCTAGACATGAGCGACTACACACGGGGGAGAAGCCGTATTGCTGTCCTGAGTGCGGGAAATGTTTTTTAGAAAAGTCCAAGCTTTCTAGACATCAGAGACTGCACACAGGTGAAAAACTGTATTCTTGTTCTGAGTGCGGAAAAATATTTTCAGAGAAAGGCAAATTTTCCAGACATCAGCAATTGCACACGGGTGAGAAACCGTATGCCTGCCTTGAGTGCTGGAAATGTTTTCCACAGAAATCAGACCTTGTTATACATCAAAGATCTCACACGGGGGAGAGAGACCGTATTTGTGCTCTGAGTGCGGGAAATGTTTTTCAGATAAGAGCAATCTTTCCAAACATCAAAAATTGCACTCGGGTGAGAAGCCGCATTCCTGCGCTGAGTGTGGAAAATGTTATAAACAGAAATCAGAACTTGTTGTACATCAAAGATCTCATACGGAACAGGGTCCATAGTCCTACCCTGAGTGCGGAAAATGTTTTTTAAGGAAGTCTTATCTTTTCAGACATCAGAGAACCCACACCACCCTCGAGGTGTATTAGTGTTCCGAGTGTGGGAAATGTGTTCTCTATGGATGATATGTTGCCGGACATCAGAGATCTCACACTGGGAAGAAGCACACCTTGATATACACCTCAGAAAACACGTGGCTGAGCTCTCCTCTGATCTTTACAGGTGAAACTTGAAAAATGAGAATATGGTGCAAAAGTTCATTTATTTCAGTGCAGCAACTTAAAAGGTGAAGCTAATATATAAGATAGACTCATTACATGCAAAGCAAGATAGTGCAAGCCGTGATTTGTCATCATTGTGATGAGTATGGCTTACAGCTCATGAAAACCCCAAATCCACAATCTCAGAAAATGAGAACATTACATGCAATCAATAAAACAAGGATTGTACATAGAACAATATCGGACCTCTGAAAAGTAGAAGCATGCATATGTACTCAGTACTTGGTTTGGGCCCCTTTTGCAGCAATTACTGCCTCAATGCGGCGTGGCATGGAAGCTATCAGCCTGTGGCACTGCTGAGGTGTTATGGAAGACCAGGATGCTTCAATAGCGGCCTTCAGCTCTTCTGCATTGTTCGGTCTCATGTCTCTCATCTTTCTCCTGGCAATGGGGTTCAGGTCAGGCGATTTTGCTGGCCAATCAAGCACAGTAATCCCACGGTCATTGAACCAGGTTTTGGTGCTTTTGGCAGTGTGGGCAGGTGCCAAGTCCTGCTGGAAAATGAAGTCAGCATCCCCATAAAGCTCGTCTGTGGAAGGAAGCATGAAGTGCTCCAAAATCCCCTGGTAGACGGCTGCGTTGACCCTGGACTTAATGAAGCACAGTGGACCAACACCAGCAGATGACATGGCTCCCCAAATCAACACAGACTGTGGAAACTTCACACTGGACTTCAAGCATCTTGCAGTGTGTCCTCTCCATTCTTCCTCCATACTCCGGGTCCTTGGTTTCCAAATGAGATGCAAAAGTTGTTCTCATCAGAAAAGAGGACTTTGGACCACTGAGCAACAGACCAGGTCTGTTTTTCTTTAGCCCAGGTAAGACGCTTCTGACGTTGTTTGTTGTTCAGGAGCGGCTTGACAAGAGGAATACAACATTTCCAGGATCCGTCTGTGTGTGGTGGCTCTTGATGCACTGACTCCAGCCTCAGTCCACTCCTTGTGAAAGTCCCCAACACTTTTGAATGGCCTTTTCCTGACAATCCTCTCCGGAATGCGGTCATCTCTGCTGCTTGTGCACCTTTTTCTTCCACACTTTTCCCTTCCACATAACTTTCTATTAATGTGCTTTGATACAGCACTTTGGGAACATCCAATTTCTTTTGCAATTACCTTCTGAGGCTTTCCCTCCTTATGGAGGGTGTCAATGATGGTGTCAGGTCAGCAGTCTTTCCCATGATTGTGATTCCTACTGAACCAGACTGAGAGACCATTTAAAGGCTCAGGAACCCTTTGCAGGTGTTATGGCTTAATTAGCTGATTAGAGTGGGACACTTTGAGCCGAGAATATTGCACCTTTTCACAAAATTCTCATTTTCTGAGATTGTGGATTTAGGGTTTTCATGAGCTGTAAGCCATAATCATCACAATTATGACAAATCACAGCTTGAACTATCTTGCTTTGCATGTAATGAGTTTATCTCATATATTAGTTTCACCTTTTAAGTTGCATTCTTGAAATAAATGAACTTTTGCACCATATTCTAATTTTTCGAGTTTCACCTGTATCATGGAAGAAACACTTTATAAGGAGATCAGAGAACACTAAAGACTTCAAAGTTGTGTCTGGCTTCCTCTGCTAGGAGAGAGAAGGAGGGGGGTCACTGCTGGTTGGGTCTCTCTAGCAGTGTAGTCTGATCTCCCCTGACCTTCAGCAGAAGCTTCCATGGAGGACATCGTAGTGAGAGAGAAGGAGGGAGGGTCACTGCTGGTTGGGTCCCTCTAGCAGTGGAATCTAATCTCCCCTGCCCTTCAGCAGAAGCTTCCATGGAGGACATCATGGTGAGAGAGAAGGATGGGGGGGGGTCACTGCTGGTTGGGTCCCTCTAGCAGTGTAGTCTGATCTCGCCTGACCTTCAGCAGAAGCTTCCATGGAGGACTTCATAGTGAGAGAGGAGGGGGGGGGGGTCACTGCTGGTTGGGTCCCTCTAGCAGTATAGTCTGATCTCCCCTGCCCTTCAGCAGAAGCTTCCATGGAGGACTTCATAGTGAGAGAGAAGGAGGGGGGGGGGGGTCACTGCTGGTTGGGTCCCTCTAGCAGTGTAGTCTGATCTCCCCTGCCCTTCAGCAGAAGCTTCCATGGAGGACATCATGGTGAGAGAGGAGCTAGATATTGCTTGTGGATGAAGAGAAGGGGAGATCAGACGAAGAATGACAAGTTTAGTGCAGTGGTTACATACCAGCTTGTTAACAGGCAGTTTCATTTGCTTAGAGAGTGCCACCTGCTGGTTGAAAGTTGAAAATATGACATTTAATGTTTATGTTGCTATTCTTTGAAAGTTGAATAATAAAAGTCTGTCTGGCCAGGGCCTCTATTCGGTAGACTCAAATTCTGGCAGCTAACTGATTCCATGCTGAAAGTGGCAGTTTGGGCGTAGGCGGGTGGGGATTGCCACACCCCTTCCTTCCTATTCACTTCTCCTTTCCTCCCTCTCTTATTTTCCCCTCCCCTATTTTTTTTTTTCTACCATCTTCCCTTTCTTCCCTTCTCACTTTCCTTCCTCAACTTGCTAGTGTCTTAGCTGCCTACATTTATCCAATGGGTTCACTCATGGCACCAAATGCCCCCCCCCCCATCCCTCGTAAATAATGTCCTCCTTACTACCGTGCTTATGACCACCCCCATCTTTCCGTACATCAGAGATTACACACGGGTGAGAAGCTGTATACCTGTGGCAAATGTTTTTCACAGAAGGACAGTGTTTCCAGACATCTTTTTCCAATGGGTTCACTTAAGGCACCGAGTGCCCCTCACAAAGTTAATGTTCTCCTTACTACTGGGCTTTTGACCACCACCACCCCCTGTCCCCATAGGCATATCTACCAGGAGGCTTCGGCTAGACTAGATGTCTACAATGTGTGGTTCCTTGCATACATGCTATAGACTAGGACATTTTGGTATGAGTTCTGGTGGTCTTACCCAAAATATTCACTCCATCAGAACTTACCCATACTGTCTGAACATGTTCTTTAATTGTTTATCCCATTGGATATTGAAGCTGCAAACAAGTTCTATTTTCTTGTATCTTGTTAAAACTTAATGGAGTCTATGGAAGTAAAAAAACAAATAAAAGATAAAAAAAAGTCTGCCTTCAGATTTGTATGATGAAATGTTCTCCTTTATTCCTTTCTCTAACACTACAAGTACGGCCCATCCTGTAGGTTTTAGTCTCCATCTTGTGTCTTAGTAGTTTGGTGTTCCCAGCTTGTCCTTGTTGGATCAGCCGACTCTCCCCCTTCTCATAGACCTCAGGACGTCTGTAGTATACTCCAATGATAAGTCCATCAGTCCATAGACCCATCTATCATTCCACCCGTAATTCCTCCTCCGCACCATCACCTTGTTGGAACAGCCGACTCTCCCACTTCTCATAGACATCAGGACGTCTGTAGCAGGAGCGGACTGACCATTTGGAAACTCAGGCACTGCCCGAGGGCCCGGGGTCAGTAGGGGGCCCCATGAGATGCCTCTAGTACCTTTTTCATAGGCTTTTTTGAGTTTGGGCAAGGACATAGGGGCCCCATGATCCCCTATTGCCCGGGGGCCCCATGAGTTGTCAGTCCGCCCCTGGTCTGTAGTATACTCCAATGATAAGTCCATCAGTCCATAGACCCATTTAACATTCCTCCCGTAATTCCTCCTCCGCACCATCACCACCTCCAACCACAAGATCATCTTTCTTCCTCACTTTTAGATCACATCTAACATAGAGAAACCCCCCCTCCATCTTTTCTATGTCCCGTGTCCCTCTAAACAAGAGGAGCAGCATGAATACAAACAGCCCAGTCTTGGGAGGAGTCAAGCCGTGTTTCTGGAACACCAACTCCATTCTCATCACTGAGACCATCAACATCTCCCATTCTGCAATTTGGAGTAGATCTCAATCCAATAGAGCACCTTTGGGATGTGATAAAACGGGAGATTCGCATCATGGCTCTGCAGCAACTGCGTCATGCTATCATTTCAATATGGACCAAAATCTCTGAGGAACATTTCCAACACCTCGTTAAATCTATGCCATGATGAATTAAGGCAGTTTGAAGACAAATTGGGGTTCATCTCAGTAAGAGCAAGGTGGACCTAATAACATGGCCAGTTAGCGTATATATCTATCCAACCATCCCAGAAACAGGTTTCTTCCTCTGTACTCCCTCTACTAAACTTTCAACAGGGGAGGGAACCTTGCCAGGCACCCCTCCTGGCAAAGCACTTTGTCATGTTAATGACAAGGGAACATGGGGCTCCAATACCAGTTGAAGCCTTCTTCCAAAAACCTACACCAATGGGGAGTGCTGATCTCCTTGTCCTCTACAGAGCTTGGTACTTTCTCCTGCTGACCTCCTCATCACTAAAAGACATGGTAGAGGAC